CAGCATGGCAGAAGGTTTATTATCGGCAGATTACAGAGATGGGCAGAGTTGGGCTTCAAATGGTCAGTACCATTCTGAAACTATGGACTCAAACTAAGGGCAAACATAATGGCTTTTTTGTTTCTCTTATTTTGCTATCCAAACATCTGCTCTTTCTCATAGTTATAAGAATCGAGTTTTACAAGAAGTACTGTACAATGCAGCCATCGGATCCGACTGTGAAGTCGTAAGATTATAATGTCGTATGAAAATAACTACAAATGTTAAATGGTCAGCTATGATCAAACAGTCTCGCTAGTAGAATAAATGAATCATTTTATCAAATCTGTCAGTGTATAATAATCAAGATAAGTGAGATATGTAACATTTTATGAATATAATATGATTTAAGAATATTATTTGACTATGTTTGACCTAAAATAAAAATTAGTTATAATTTCTTAGAATCGCAAGATTATAAAAAAGGTAACATTTTCCAAGTGTAAGCGTAATTTTTGAAGACTTACATAAAATTGTAGAATTTGAGGACCGTACATTTTATAGTAAGATCTGGTAAAGTTTGCTCTGTGAGAGTGTAAGAGGGCTCTTCTCTTACTTAAATTCAATGAATTGCAGGATCAGGGAAGTCGAAAAGTCTGCAGAACCTTACAATGCAGCTGAGGAAGTGTTGTAACCATCCATACCTCTTTGTCGGTGATGATTATAACATGAGACAGATCGATGAAATCACTCGAGCCTCAGGCAAGTTCGAGCTTCTTGATCGCTTGCTTCCCAAGCTACGTGCCACTGGCCACAGAATTCTCCTCTTCTCACAGATGACCAAACTGATGAACATCCTCGAGATCTATCTGAGGCTTCATGGTTACATGTACCTTAGACTCGATGGCACTACCAAAACTGAGGAAAGAGGGGCTAAGCTGAAGCAATTCAATGCTCCAGACTCACCCTACTTCATGTTCCTTCTCAGCACCCGTGCTGGGGGGCTCGGGTTGAATCTGCAGACTGCTGACACGGTGATCATGTTTGATAGCGATTGGAACCCTCAGATGGACCAGCAGGCGGAGGATCGTGCTCATCGTATCGGGCAAAAGAAGGAGGTTCGCGTTTTTGTGCTGGTGAGCGTTGGTTCGATCGAGGAGGTGATCTTGGAGCGAGCGAAGCAGAAGATGGGAATCGATGCGAAGGTTATCCAAGCGGGACTTTTCAATACCACATCCACAGGTATGTAAATTATCAGACTAGAAAACCCACCCTAGTCAAGTCCTGAAAGCTTATTATGCTTCAAAATGAACGGCTCTTTTTGGGTTTGTCAACTTTCACAGCTGAGGACAGGAGAGAGCTGCTACAGGAGATAATGCGGAAAGGAACGAGCGCACTGGGGAACGACGCACCAAGCGAGACCGAAATCAACCGGCTGGCAGCTCGATCGAAGGACGAACTCATACTCTTTGAGGAAATGGACAGGGAGAGAAAACGAAAGGAGAATTACAGGGCCCGTCTCATGGAAGAAAACGAGGTCCCCGAATGGGCGTACAAGAACATCGGCAAGGAAGATAGTAAGCCCAGCAAAGGGTTTGATCACAATGCCGTGCTGGGGAAGCGAAAAAGGAAGGAAGTGATTTACGCCGATACTTTGACCGATCATCAGTTTTCCAAGGCCGTTGAGAATGGAGAACTTCCAACGGCAATGCCAGCTCGGCTGCGAAACGAAACTCCTCCGCCACCGAAATCGGAAGGTAATCCAGTACTTGTAGGCCATTCTGGTTCTGCCATGAATGAAAGTGCAGCGACGACGATGAGTGAAGGAACTAGTGAAGAGACCACCACCACCACCGGGTACACTCCGGTAGCGCTGCCGAAAAGAATTGTAGCTGATGATGCGGTATTCGAGCCACGGAGTGGAAGCAGCAGCGTGAATTGGAGCGGGCAGATACTGACTTGGAATACGCATAAGAAGAAGAGATCCAACTATCCTACTGCTCCGAGTTCATCGTCCGATTCAAGGAGCACAGAGTTCCGACGGCAGAGGTAATGTAATAATGGCTGCTGGATCTGATGAGATCCTGATCAAGGAAAAACAATTAGGAGGGCATTGTACGGCATTGTATTCAGTGCCGATTTCCCCCAGTTCCAAGCTCAGCGTCCGATTGAAAGCTGAATGTATTATTGAATTCGGGTTAACTGTGTAACATGACCATATTAGCAAGAACTCTGTATTTCATAATCTTGTGTAAAATCATCCATCTTTTCCAGCCATTATCTTCCTTTAGGCTGCCAAGCGAAGAACAAAACTCCAGGAGTTGATGTAGGATCAGAGAAGTGATTGATCTGAGCAGGTAGAATAGGCTACGGTATAGTTCAATTGGATCGTCACCCGTATCCATAAGTCTAATCCAACATTCAAGTGAGTCTAGAGACGAAATCTCAGACCCGAGATTTTTCTTAAGCTACATCGACAGAGATTGCCTAGCAAAGGTCCACAAAAGACTAGCAACAAAACACAGGATACATATAGAATGAAAGCCAGGTTTCATTCGCACATCTCTACCGACCTACTGAATAAACGCTAAACGTTCATCAACAAAAGTGAGATGCCAACCTACAGCCCTGCTAAAATGCAAAGACTTTTAGCAGAACACGAGAAAATAAAAACCTGCTGCAATTATCTTCTACATAGCCGCAATGACATAGATTAATGAAATTATTCATCCTCTTCATTGACCTCGAGATGCTTCAACTTGGAGTCCAACTCACGATCATCGTCGCCAGCATCCTCCTCATCAGATTCCTCGGCATCACCTACTCCATCAGGGTCATTCTCGTCAAGCGGGCCAAGCTTTTCAGGACACTTTTCAAAGGCCTCCTTCAACTCATCAATCCCTTCGTCGGATATGAAATTCGCATTGATATTCAGCAACTCGAACTCTGGCTTCTGAAGCACAACCTTAGCAAATACACGAGCTCCTGCCCTACCAATAGCATTGGTATTAACATCCACTCGCTTCAACTGTGAATGGCCCGTTTCCAAGGCCTTTGCAATCTGCACAGCACCTTCATCCTTGAGTTCGTTCTCATCCAAGTTCAACTTCTTCAGGTTCTGCTTCGATGCAATGCAAGCGGCGATACTAGGAACCGCTTCAATTGTTATATCGTTTCCCATCATGTCGAAGACTTCGAGGGATGGAGCTGAGTCCTTGAGTGCATCTGCTATAACTGTAGCACCTTCATCTTCCAAGTTTAGATAGCACAGATAAATCTCGCTCAAGGAAGGAAACTTGGGAATTGCCTTGGCAAGAGCAACTGCAGCTTCAGTCCCGAACATATTATCTCGGAGGTCTAATGTCTTGAGCTTAGTGCAAGACTCTAGTGCTTCTGCCAAGGCTGCCCCACCTTCGGCTCCTACCCTTGTGGAGGAGCATTGGAAGTCCTCAAGCAAAGGGCAGCGCTTCAAAACCTGAGCAATTGCAAGTGCTCCTTCATCACCAGTCATGTTGTTATGGAAACGAAGGACCTTAAGTGTCTCAGTAGATGGAATCAGTTCACAAACTGCTCGCGCAGCTTCCTCTGAAATGCCATTGTTCATCAAGTAGAGCTCTTCGAGGCAACTCTGTGACTTGAGAAGTGCCTCAAACGCCCTGACGCCTTTTTCACCCAAAGCATTGTCTGAGAGGTTCAGGGATCTAAGGATGCTGCCCTCCAACGCAGTGGAGAAAACGGTCATGACCTCAAGAGCTTCATCCTCTGGCCTTCCAGCAATGAAATCAGACAAGTCAACTTCCTTTAACTGGTCCTTGATGGACTCCAGAACCGGTGCGGCAACACGAGCAGCTTCAAGACTAAAGCTCCTGTTGCTGAAGCATATCTTTGAATAAGAATTTCCAGGCTTCTTCAATGGCTTCAGAATTTCCTCGGTCTCCTCTGCCTCTATGAAAGATCTGGATCCCTTGGAAATGTCAAAGAAAGTCTCGGGAGGTGGTGTGATGACTTCCACGCTATCCTTCGGGCCAGGGTCTCCTTCCTCAGACGGAAGATCTTCCATGTCTTCCTTTGGCACAGGGCCTCTCTTCAGGACATCCAAAATAAGCTTACTGCATTCTTTAGCATAAAGCTGTACAGCAGAACCTCCGTCACCATCTGGTTCGTTATCATACTGTTGGCTTGCAGCTTTGAAGGCAACAGCTTCGATCCTCTTTGCATTCTCCTCCGCTTCCTCTTTGCCCAGGGTCCCATACTTTTGAGCGAAAATAGACTGTGAACTCAGATTTCCCGCTACTCGGGCGACAAGCATCTGCCTCGTGTTGTCACTAGGGGGCCATAGTTTAATCGAAAATGGGCGGCGTTCGTACTTTGGTGATGTGGCACTGGAATCCATAGCAAAGAAGCCTGCATAGACGCAGATATATATGAGAACATAACTTCGGAAAATGAAAAGCTTCCTCCAAGCAATTGCAGCTTATAAGAAACTCCCATAAACTTTAAAGAGCAACACCCAGGAATCAATGTTTCTGGTAAATCAAGAGATACACCTTTACCCAAGCATATTATTAACAAAAATCGACATATGAAGTTCATAGAACAGGAGCAAGTAAAAATATCCAGATTGATTCCGCAGCTGCATAAACTAATATAAGATTCACAGCAAAACCAGTCACTAGCTTAGTACATTTCGGCACCCTTGCAAACTAAGGCACAAACTATGTTACGCCTTTTAAAAGATACAGCGACATTTCTCTCATAACGAAAGACATAAGCCAGTAAGCCACCGCAAAGATTGGATAACTACAATTATCAAATATAAATAACCAAGTAACCAGCTGCGCAATTATCGATACAAGATCTAGTTGCACACAGATCAAACCAGTTCCAGAATCAAAAGAACCCTTCAGGAAATCAAAACTCAATAAGCGCAATCAGGGCGCAGAGAGGGCTAAAAGCTTGGACTACGACAGATCTATAGATGTCGTGAACCGTTCGAACGTTGCAGAAAACTGAATAAAACCCTAGAAGTGAGAGACAAAAAACAGCGACGTAGAAGCATAGAGAAACAAGCCAAGTTACCTTGTCTTTTCTTCTTCTTCCTTATCTACTGCTTCTTTCTCGATCAGTTGCGTTCGTATATCAGCTATCCGAAGCAGAGATTGTTCACCGATGCAATGTGTTGGAAAGGCGATGGGGAGAGATAGAAAAGAGAGAAGTGGAGGGAAACAAAAGAAATTCAGAACTAAAGTGAGACTGAACTGAACCAGCGACCTACGGACGGAGATGAGTGAGCCGCCTGCTTAGGTTTTCTCTGGTCTGGCGCGGATCCAGTTGAAGGATATAAATGGACGGCTGACCGGGGAGGGGAGCGTGTCTTTTTTCCCCAACCTTAAACGTGGTTTTGTGCTGATTGATTGGTCCGTGAAAGAGACTAGGCCGCGAATGCTGGGCTTTGCTTCGGTCTGTCAGTTTTGGGCCGAGACTATACACGAAAGCACGACCAAAACTAATCGGCCCAATAGTAACAACAAAAGTTCACGATCCAACTTGCTGATAGTTTTAAAGTTGTATACTGATAACTTCATCTTGATGGAGGTGGCAAGAGCTCAGACTCAGAGGCAAATAGACAGCCCAAATTTGTCAACCACAGGATCTCTTCGAGTTTTGTTTTGCCATCTCGAAACCTTTGTCGAAAGAATCAAATGCTGCATGCACGATACCATATTATTGCGCAACAGAACGACGAGAACCTCCTCGAATGACAAAATCGTCGCTCAAAGAGTTTCTTCTTACATAACACGCGTACATAACCTAACCATCACAGTCCCAGCAAAAAGAACAAAGCAGGGGATGCATTCATACCCCAGCCAGCACCAGAGAAACAAGGCGATTAGCCAATTACTAATACTGAACAGCTCGCTCTGCTGAGCACGCCCTATGCCACGCCAAGGCACTCTTTCTCTCTATCAAATGGAGATGATTCTGAGCCATGTCGTGATGACACCAAACCACTATTCGGCGGCTCGTCGTCAGCAAGAAGAACGATCTACCACGTCTGTACAACTTATCCTAGTTAGAGAGATCAAAGAAACTGGAGACCGGTCGTCGTCTACAGCCGCAAGTTATGTGGGTCAGGTTTGGTCAGTGCCTTCCCAAAGTAATTCCTTATGTCTGGTATAATCCGCTGGATCAAGTAAGAGTGCCTGCCAGACGCACTCAACAGCAAAATTTTACGACTCGATGAGCTCCTCAAAAAGTGCTATGAAGTTACCAAAAATGAGCTTGTGAACATGAACAAGGACATGATCACGATGTGATTGACCAGATAAACATACCTGGGCTTAGCACTCAATTTATCGAAATGCTCCAAGATGAACAAGATGCAAGTGTGCCTCAGTGAAAAAGCATGGAAGGATTCTGAGAGCTCGTACATGCTTGCAACATTGTCCAGGGATATGTCCTTCAGCCAAAACATAGGCTAGTGTTGGACAACCAATCGGAATCCCAAACAGGATGGAAGATGCACATTAAATTATTCAATTCTTTATTTTGAACGGGCAGAGATTATAATAGCTAACCTGTGCTATTGTATACTCGCAGAGTCGCTTTAGAGCCTCCAATAGATACTGATCGGCCGCCCGGAGCAGATCTTGAGCAACATCTAGGGCAACATTTACGGACCCCGTGTATATGAATCTGGCATAAACAAATAACCCCAGGAATGTAAATTTTCATTTCAAGTTGGGTAGAATGCATTTTCTGGAGTTGGGAATTTGTTTATTGGACCTCATCATCAACTCGAAAACTTCCCATCTGATGTTTGGAATTTCAATATCCCTTGCATCCTTTTCCTGCATAAGATTAATTTATGGAAATCGGTCAGAAATACAAAATTGCGTCATTTTGAATAGCCTTATCAACAACTGTTGTTCACCAGAGTTCCTTGCTAAGGATAGCATGCATGCCTTAGCAACTATAGTCCTTAAGAAAGTATGAAAATTTAAAAAGATCCATTGAATAAATCATATATAGTGTGCACTGGAGGAAAAGGTGATTTTCAAGTTTTCTACGTGGTGCCAGATTGCAAAGAGGAAAGTTGATTGCATAAGTTATTCTCTATGCCAAGATCTAAACAGCAGAATCTCTTAACCTTCCTCGAGCCAGAATTAAAGAATAGGAAATAAGAGGAAATATTTCAAAAACTAGCAACTGCACACATACCCGGTAAC